GAGAAAGAAATAGCTTGCGAGTATGAACGTGGAAGGTAACTGCACAAATTCCAAACAACAATTTCCAATACGAAAGAGAACACAAGACCAAAAGACTACTCCTGATCTTATGTGCTGTTTAGGTTATTATGATGTCTCAAACACAAGAGTAGACCAAAGAATCATACCACAAGCAAGTGTAAATCAGCTTAAATGAGGCTTCTTTTCAAAAACTACCTTGCACTAAGGAAAGCCTCAGTACCAAAGTTCATGGTCATTTCAAGAGAACTATCGGAGTCCATGTCTTGATTCTTATTTCTCATCAAGTTTTCAGAAGTTAGACACTCTTTAAGTCCGGTAATAACTTCGGACATGCTTGGTCGCCTTTCTGAAGAAGGATTTGCACATGACATAGCCAATTCAAGAGCTTTCCATACAGAAGTTGAGTTGTAATCGCCGCAAAGATTAGGATCCATGATCCTGGTAATATCTCCTCTGTTTATCACAAGTGCCACCCATTCTGTAAAGTGTCGCTTTTCACGGTTTTGGTCAATCACTCGTTGGTTTGTCATCATCTCCAATAACACAATCCCAAAGCTGTACACATCGCTCATCTCGGTCAACCGACCCGTTCTGTAATATCTAGCAAGGCAAGAATATGTAGTATGATTCATATGTGTTCATTGTACCAGCTAATATGAAAAAGGACACAAGTTTCAACATGGCATGATGAATATCACATCTAGGATAGTCTAGATTCGGCTAAAAGATTCTTGTTATAAAACAATACTTACTCGGGATCAAGATACCCTGGAGTACCAGCAACAACCGTCGAAACATGAGATTCATCTCCGAGCTGGCAGGATCTTGAAAGCCCGAAATCTGCAATTTTGGCAGTGAATCGCTCGTCCAACAATATATATTCGTACTTTTGACATCTCTATGCACCATCGATGGTCGACATCCAATGTGTAAGTACTCCAATCCTGGAAATATTAGCAAATTCTTATATGAAATACTCTACACACATTGCAATAAGAATCCAAAAGGCAATCCAACTACTTTTAACTCAAAAATATCACCACCGTTAACAGCACTTTAACAAATTTTTCAAATTTTAGAAAACATTTGATTGAAAGTGTTTAAAAATGTTTTC